ATGTTGTCATGAGTCATTATGAGAGGGTGTTGAATGTTATCAGAAACTCTATCAGACATCACACTGTAAATCATCAAATTTATTGTTAGCGTTGCTGTACTTGCTCATTACAATCAATATCCTAGGGTTAGGGTTAGGGTTGGGGTTACAAATGACATTAGTTCTTGCACAAGCAACCACATTTTGATAGGTATTAGAAAAAGGTAATATCGAATTGGTATGTATTGCATTTTAGGTGAATGAAGAAGGGGCCGAGGCAGTTGCAGCCACAAAAATTTCGGGTGTGCCACTATCAACCCACCCCTGTATTAATGCTGATCATCCATTTCTCTTCTTCATTGTCACTGATAATGGATTCCCAGTATTTGCGGGTCATGTGATGAATCCATTGGAAGAATAATTGATTGATGGAATTCCCAATTCGACTACACATCTTGTTCTCATTTATTAATTGCCAACTTTATTTGATGCCATTGTTTCTATTTCATATTAATCGATATATCAAAGATGATCTTAAGCGATTAATAAAGTCTTCTTTTACTTTAAGCAAGTGAGCTCATTTTCTAGCTGTATGAATCACTCATTGAGCACAAATGTATTGGAATTTCAGAATAGGCAGGAGTAGTTATTGTGATTTGCTTTTGTGGCAAACTCGTTGAAAGTGAACTAGTCTATAAAAGATGAAACCGCTCCTTAAATCCAAACGCAGTCTATAGAAGAGTGACCTTTCCATTTGTGAAGTAATTGAACTTTATTGGCCAAAAATTGGATGAATATTGTTCTCTTCAGACAAATTTCAAGCTCGTCGTTTTTGGAAGACGTTAGATTGACAGGGTGTGTGGAAGTTGAGATCGGCACTAGTTCATTTCTTAGCTCAAATGAAATTGTTGGAGAAGGTACTCTTTGATACCCAACATCCACAACCCTCTCTTCAACCCCCTCTTCAACTCCATCTTCAACCCTCTCGGGTTGGTTTTAAGTCTAGACTTAGGTAATTCGAGTTTGAGATAATATTTCCCTTCTACAAATCTAAAATTTTATACGATTTGAACATGTTGAAGTCTCTACAAGATTACACTTCAAGTTGATACTAGTGATCACTCTAATGAAATGAAGCCACCATCGTTTACTAGATAGTTCTTATTCGGTGTCTGCAAACTGTCTTTGTTAGTTCCCAACTCTGCACTTCCCAATGCCTGAGCGAGATGGTTGACAGAGTTGAG